GTTCAACATCTCCTTATAAAATATCAGGGAATTTCCCATTCTATAGAACTTGAGGTCACATACTGTGTCCCAAACCTGGCCAAGATACCTGTCCTCAATCAGTCAATTTGAAAGTAAAAATAAAAATAGAAATTTGATTCAAGGTTGTCACACTGAAAGGGGGGACAAATATCTAGAGTAAGATCTGAGTCTTCTGTGGTCCTGGAATGAGTTTAAGTATTAAATACAGAGATATGTACATCAAAGCATCCCTGCTCAAAATGTGGTTTTATCTACCATTGATCATAATTGCTGTACTTTCATCAACCTGTGTGACACTGTGAAATCTCCTTCCTACAGTAGATCTCATGCCACATATATGAGTGTTAATTTTCTTGGAAAAACCCATTTATTTGATTTATTATAATAGGTGAAAGTCAGAGGGAATAATTCTCTCTTAAGAATATATTTACTTTTGCCACAGAAACTCTATCATTTTGAACTCAAAAGAAAAAATTAATGAGTCAGCTTTGACACCTCAAGCAGGAGGTTTTTGTTGGAGATCGTATCACTGTGGGATGATACTCTACCTATTGTTGACAGTAATAAAATCCAATCCACATCCTCAGGCTTTTCTCTACTGCATTTTAGTGTAAAATCTGTTTCTTACCCACTGACACTGAAAGCATCTTGACCCCAGAAAATTGTTTGGAAACCCATTAGATCAGGAACTAGGAGACTTGTCTGGCCTCTGTGGGAACCAATGCAAGTAAGTGTTACCATGATTATGTAGTAGACTCTTACTAGAAATGTAGAAGATGAAAACTGACTTTTCAAGAGTGACAAGAATGGAAAGTGCAGTTTGGGTGATCACAGTATACCCAGTGAATCTTTAAATAACAGAAAGTAAAGGTTATGTACAAACTTAATGATACTTTAAAATGATTTTTCTTCATCATTTATTTTCATACTTATTTTACTCATGACTTTTATTCATAATCTAAAATATATAACATGAAAGACACATAAAGAGAGCATGGAACCTTCATAGAAATCACCTAGACTATCCATTTTGGTACTTGTCAGATTTGCCACAAGAGCCGATGTTCTTTTTTTTTTTTTTTTTTTTTTCCCTCTAAACCTCACAGGCCCATTCCTGAAGAACAAGACTAACAGTCCCACACATGAAAAAAGCATGCATCTGAATCAGCAGGGCTGCAGAAACCCCATTCCTCTGAATTTTTTTCATCGTGGTTTCTTTCCATATCAGGAATCCAGAGAAAAATCAGCCCCACTCTGAGAACGTGATATGAAGATTCCTGAGTAGTCAAGGCAGAATGAGGGGCTAGTTTTGTCCAGCACTTACAATAAGAGGTCCTTCATAGGGAACAATATGTAAATCCTTTATTTGATACAGCTATGTGTAAAGTATCAAAAGGTGCTTTTAAAATCTAATCTTAAAAGTGAAATAATATAACATGTTTCCTTTGTTTGTAATAAAGTGGATGCAGCACATACTGTCTATAACAAGTGTCAGTGGGGCTCCACTCTAAAAGTCTTCATCTCTGTTAATAGACACATACATGATCTACAGGGTATGCTAATATAGCAACATACACCTAAATTACATGCTGATGTGTGTTCTGGTCAGCACTTAGGTGGAGAATGGGCGACTTCTCCAGGCTATTCTGAAGGACTGAAATTCTGCCCTAGTATTACTAATGCCAAAGGAATTTCAGATAGTTGAAGGGCATATTTAAATTAGAGTAAAAACATTCAAGAGTATAAGGACAAACAAGAAAGAAAAGGGAGTAAAACAAACCATGTCATTTGCAGTGAAACCTAATGGCCTTCTCTACAACAAGATGAAACAGGGAGAATTTTTTCTTTAGAATATGAATATGAAAGTTAATTATATAATGTAAACAATCCATTGCCAATAAATATTCTGCTACAATTTATAACAATGTAAATAATCTACTGCCAATAAATACTCTACTACAAAGTAACATTATCTGCTTATGGCCTGTCTCACATGGCCAATGCATTTGCTATCAAACATGACAACCAGAGTTTATTTCAAGGACTCACAAAATCAACTATCATAATATGTACTATGAGCATGTTTGTATTATGTCAGGCATGCACACATTTACATGTGCACATTTGCATACACAAACACACATACTCACTATAGAAATGAAGTTTTTTTTAATATAATTTTTTATTGAAAAAAAAATTCCGCCTCCTCCCCGCCTCCCATTTCCCTCCCCGTCTCCCTTTTCCCTCCCCCTCCTCCCTCTCCTCTCCCCCTCCTCCCACTCCTCTCCCCTTCCCTCTCCAGTCTGAGGGGCAGTCAGGGTTCCCTGCCCTGTGGAAAGTCCAAAGTCCTCCCCGCTCCATCCTGGTCTAGGAAGGTGAACATCCAAACTGGCTAGGCTCCCACAAAGCCAGAACATGAAGTAGCCATAGAACCTTCATCTGGAGATGGATGGAGATAGAGACAGAGAACCACACTGGAGTACCGGACTGAGCTCCCAATGTCCCAAGGAGGAGCAGAAGGAAGGAAAATATGAGCAAAGAAGTCAGGACCACGAGGGGTGCACCCACCCACGGAGACAGTGGGGCTGATCTATTGTGAGCT